CTCTGGCCCATTAATTGAAACCCATTATTTTTCTTACAATCTTTTGCTCTATAGCTGGATAGACGTCTCTTATGATGTATAACGTCTCTCGTGACCCAAGGACTGTTCGGATTTCTTTTTTGACTTGTGTTGGAACAAACCTTAGAGTGAATCGAACGCAATTCGTTTAGAGTTCAGCCATAGGTCATCCACTCAATGATTTTACTCTGGTCCGTTAAAACCCATTATTTTTCTTGCGATCTTTTGCTCTATAGCTGGATAGACGTCTCTTATGATGTATAACGTCTCTCGTGACCCAAGGACTGTTCGGATTTATTTTTTTACAGCGGAGCTGTTAAGGGCTAGTTTCCCCAGTTTCGTGTCCGTGGACTAATAAATCTCGACACAAAACTCTGGATAGTTACCGCCCTATTTGAGCGATGGCGGCAACCAGACAACCGGCAAGCCGGTCGTCTGGTTGCAGTCGTCGCTTATAGATGGCGGCCACCTTTCCAGCCTTTCCACTCTGGTTTTCACCAGAGTGGAAAGGCTGAATTTCTCTAGGCGTCGTCCTTGAGATCCTCCGAGAGGTTGTCCGCGAGGTCGTCCTAGAAGTCATCCTCGAGGTCGTCCTAAAGGTCGTCGTTTAGACGAGCTTTAGGACAACGTCTAGAGCGATCTCGAGGATGACCTAAAGGTCATCCTCGAGATCGCTCTAGCGGTTGTCCTCGAAGTCGTCCTAGAATTCGTCCTAGACGTCGTCCCTGAGGTCGTCCTAAGCATGGTCCTCTACGCGTCGTCCTCGAGGTTGTCCTAGAATCGTCCTAGACGTCGTCCTTGAGGTCATCCAAGAAGTCGTCCTTTAGGTCATCCCACCATAGTACGGCTCCGCTGGTCTTCACCAGAGTGGAAAGGTTGAAAGTTTTGTAGCGTGAGCTACACTGGGGGCCGAGGTTGAGCAGTTTCGCGTGGCTCCCAAAGAGCCGTGCTGCGCAGGCGCGAGGAGCAGTGACGGGCAAACTTTTGTTCAGATCAATAAACAAAACTCGAACTCCTTTCAAGGTAGCCGTATCACAAGACTACAAAACCGCAACCTGTCTTTTGATTTAAAACAAGTTCCATTTCTCTTTTTGGGGGGAAGTACTCGTGTGACGAGGAGGGAGGCGGATGAGTGGGTGGGGGGGGGGGGGGGGGGGGGAGGTGGAGGGGAGGGTGCCGCGAGCCGCACTTTAACATCGCGAAGAGCCGCAGCTTGGCCACCCCTGCACTACACCAACTAATAATTCACTGCTTTCTTGAACAATATGTTTTCAAAACCGGGGGCACCTTCCATCGCCGAAGCAATCAAAGATACTTGAACTTCTAGAGCAACGCCTCCTCCTCTACTTTCTCTGTCCTTTAAAACTTATGACAACCAAGAGGTACTATTGCATCGTCCGTCACAGATGAGTCCAGCCATGTCTCAGTAATAGCCACCACGCTAGGGTCATGTTCAATTAAAATGTGTTCTAGTTGAAGCATTTTATTTACAATACTTCTTGCATTGAGGTTAAGACGCTTTCTGTGTGCGATAAATGAGGTTAAGTGTCATGCTCATGACTATGTACATTAGACGTAAAGAGCTCAACTCTCTGCTCCGTTGCGACATCCCATCCGTGAGTTACGCCATTGATCTTTAGCTCATCGTATGAAAAGTACCTCACCATCCCAGAACCGCTAAGTCTCTACTCGATTTCCGATCCTCCCATTTAAAGCTGATAAAAAACGGTATTGCTGTGTCATGTGTCCAGAATCCGCTATCAAAATTGTGCAAGCACAAAATGCAGGAGGGCGTTTTAGACCGAATAGCAAGGCTCCAAGAAGCAGGTTTTCCAGATCCGGTGATTACCGCAGCCTGCGAAAAAATAAAGAAGAGTGTCGGGGCCAGTGCAGCAGCAAACTGCGCTGAGCGGGAAGGGAATAACAAAAAGAAGGTGGCTTCCATCCCTTACGTTTACCCCGTTTCACACGGGTTGAAGAAGATCGCAGCAGGATACGGTGTGAGTGTCGTTTCTTCGGTCAAAAACAAGCTGAGCCAGATTTGTCCCGCCATAGAAAGGCGTGTTAGTAAGCGGAAAAATCTGAGTAGTCATGGAATTGGACTGTAAAGCATGACATACAATTCGTATCATGCACCATTGAAGCAGTGTATAGGATACCTTTCTCATGTGGGAGGGCGTATATTGGCCAAACGGGGTGCTGTTTGAACATCCGCTTAAGAGAACATGCCAGAGTTCATTGAAGGGCTGTGCATACTTTCATCTTGCGATGCGTTGTCGCGCCTGTAGGTGTGAACCAAGATCGAGTGACACCGAAGTTGTCACTCAATCTTGGCGTCTTCAATCACAAGATTGTACACACCGAAGCACAGGGACCAAGTGTCTAGAGAGATAGTAGAGGCATACCAAATAAAAAGGGCGGGAACCTCTTGTGTCAGCCAACCGTCTTTGGCACTGCTGGACAGTGAGGTGGCGTTTTTGGATTTGGGATAGCATCATGTCACTATTTATCTAGTTTAACACGTGCCATCACGCTGCTATTAATTGTCTCGTGATACGCAGACGGGGGTGTACTGCCAAAAATGAATGGCCGTTTTCATGTGTTTTTTGCTATTAAAACATTTCAGTTGATTGTCAGCGCTCGTCCCATGTGTTTCTTCTTCGTCCTCGTCTGTTTTTCGCGCTGTTTCCTACGATGAATACCTTTTCTCATCTCCTTCTATTTTCGTTCGCACTTACCCAGGGCAACTTTCCCAGAGCTTGCCCCTGACCATTCTTACATTTTTGGAAAAGTCTTCATTAATAAACAGGCGCGTACCTTTTAATTCTTTAGCATTTCTGATAGCACCTCTTTCATTGTAGTTTCCAAGACACAAAATTATCGGCTTCGGCTTGCTTCTTGCCATCCTTTCAAGACGGTGGATGCTTTCAACGGATGTAACTTCAACGCGCACTTTTGTTTTAAAATACCCTCAACTACTTTCTCTACTAAGCCTTGTTATGTTTCTCGTTTGGATCCGCAACACCGTAGATGATCGAATGATTTATTCTACTCCTATTTTCCAGATAATCAATTTTTGCTTCAAGTTTCATTACGGTCGCTTCCAATTGTGATACTTTTATTTGTATCTCACAAATTGTCGTAGACAGGCTATCTATCTTAGAATTAGATGCCTCGATAGCCTCCAATCTTTTATCGAAGCTTTTCTGACTTTCAGCTATTTTTGCTAGGCCAGCTGCCATCTCTCTGCGGCAGTTCAGAAACTGGTGCAATGAGCCGGGATTGGTTTCAACATCCCCGCACGTAATCAGCATTTGAATTGCAGGTATTTGATCTCTTATTTCAGAATAATGACAAAAATAACTTTTTTTTTACTTGTTCGTAATTGTTCTGCGGTTGGCGTGATTCTGAAGCATCGGCTTGGTAGCATGCAGACACTCGCTAGCTTGAAAGTTAGACAGGATACGTACTTCGAAGGTCGTTTCTCTTCCAGCGTTTTGGTAGATACACACTTGTTTCGGTTTCACAATTTCTAATCACTGTTATCTTCTGGAAAATGACTGTTTGTTTATTTAAGGTTATTCAATCTTACTATTTCAGGTGATCTGTTCGTTGGTACCCAAACACTTGCTAGCTTACACGTCAGGAAGGATACATGCTTTGAGGTTCGTTTCTTTTTCAACATTTTGGTATAAATGTAGGCGTCCACCTGTTTCAATTTTAAAATTCATAATGGCTATAAATTTCAAGTTTTAATAACTCTTGTAATTGCATGTTTTTAATAACTTATTTCAAGATAATGCCTCTTTTTCCCAGGTAATCTAATAATTTTCTATTTCAGGTGATCTAATCCCTTCTTTTTTCAGGTGATCTAGTCGCTTTTAATGTCAGGTCATCTCATCATTTTCTATTGCAGGTGATCAAATTACTTTTTATTTCAGATGATCTAATATAATGTTTCTTTATTTCGGGTCGTCTAATCTTTTTTTTATATTTTGGGTGATGTAATCACTCATGTTCAGGACGTTGATGTTCTGTCCGTTTCTACGCCCACACTCGCTAGATTACATGTCAGGTTGAACGCACACCTTAATTTTATCTTTCAATATTTTGGGTTTAGTAAGGTCTGTGCTTGACCTTTTTTTTTTTTCTGAGCTCTGTACTTAAAATTGTAATCAGAGTAGTTTTACATTTTGGCAATGAACTGTTCTATGGTATCGCTTATGCCTGTCTTCCTTTGTAATGGGCGACATCTTCAGAAACATATTTGCGAAGATGTTGCGACACCTTGCAACATGCACCGCCATTCTGCGAAAAATAGTTGACGTTTATTAGAAATCGGTGCTGTCTTACTATTTCTTTTTTTTTTTTTTTTTTTTTCAGGTACAGTGTGGTGTGGTTTTTCTGTTGAGCTTTCTTTCAGAATTCGTAGTGTATCCACTTTTTTGTGTGTTCCTCATGTCACAGGAAATTGATTTCGAAACACGCTTCGACTAAGTTCGTGTAACGGGGTCGAACTGAATTTAGCGCCAATATTGTTTTTGTTTTGTGGTTTTGTCTTGTTCTTTCTTTCTCTTGCAGGTTCCATGTTCGAGTGCTCAGGGACTCGCAGCCTCCCAGGCCTGGACTACCTTCAGGGAACTGCCCTGGAACCTCGTCTAAATATTTTTCTTCTTTTTGACGTCAATGAACGCTGCACAACTGCAACCGCTAGTCCCTCTCTCACTGCACAAGAGTCGCTACAAGGGCTAAATTATTGTCATAAAACAGCTTATTTCCAATGATTTTGCTGCGTGGGCTAAAACAAAACTGCAAGGCAGAAAGAAATGTTCCAAATATGTAGCGCTTTTTAGGCTCCTATACCTCCAATGACAATGTTGTAGAAGGTGGTTATGTGTAAATACGCCTCGCAAGTGGGCTCATTTTCGTCTTCTGCGCATGAGAAAGGAGGCGCGAAGGCGGGAGAGGAGGTTGATGACGATTCGGGCTAAGCTCCGCCCTCGCACATGTCGGGGAGGCCGGGGGGTAAACAAACATCGGCGTCGGCCATGGCGGCCGTGCTGTAGCGGCGACCGCGAGTCTTTTGTTTATTGTAGCCCGGTTAAAATTTGCCGAGTCCACAAGATCGAGCAGCTTTGTGCCCCTTACGATTCCTCCGTCGTCTGCTAGAAGCATTTCGAAGATTCCAAGATGAAGACGACGAAGAGCATCAAAAGAAGGCGCTTGCCTAGCCTCGCGATTGAAACGCCGGTTGCGCCGGTCACTGCGAGACCGCCGCCCGATTGTACCGGTAAGTTGCCTTTTATCTTGTTCTTCCTTTACGAACACAACAGATTTTGCCTTCTAGGAGGTCTGTAAAAATCTTGTGTGGCGGAGTCGATAGGCGCTATTAATCGAAAAACAGCCGAGAATGTGGTGTTTTCGCGATCCTCCGAAGCCCATTTTCGCACGTGATATTTAGGAATTTCGACTCGAAACTGCACGGAGGCCGTATAAACTATGTTCCGTTTCACTTTAAATGCGATCGAAGTTAAATCTACATGGGCGAGTCCCGAGCTTTGATCATAGCTGCCATGTGCGATCTTGCAGTGCGTTCTCGCGTTTGTAATTTTCTCTTCGTTCGCACTTAGATGAGACGCAGTATAGTCATACATCGTATTTGGTATAGTAGTTTCAGTCTACGGTTGTAATCATGGCACTGTAGAAAAGCACAGAGCTCAAAACTTATCACAAAAAAGGGATCGTTTTTTTTTTTACGCGATCGTTGTTTTTTTTTTTTTTCAGGAATGAAGTTGGAATGGCTGTTACGTGTAATACAGTGAACCAACTCGGACAGTACAAATTTGCCGTTTCACATTACCCAGTATGAGTAAATTGCCAACGAAGTACCGATGCCGCCTTTCTGCAAAATGTGTTGCGCAGTGTATCTTCGAACCACATCGACGCTGTCAGTGTCTGACGTGTTTTTGTGTGTCGCTTGTCTCCTTTTTCGTTCCCTTACCAAGATGAAAATTCGGATATCGTGCACTATCCAAGCCTAGTTAATGAGCGCCCCATGGAATTGACACGGGAGTAAACAATGGCTAACATGTACATATTTTTGTTTTGTTCGCTCAGCAGACTGGGACTGAGTGTGTAAGTGATCAACTTTCTAATATCATTTGTCATTTCTAGGTCCCAGATGGGCTGTTGACATCCAGAAACACTCCAACAGATGGTGGTCATACAGCGATTGTGAAGAATGTGAAGACAGTCCGATTTGGATCCAAATTCCTAGTCCACTCATTGATAATCTTTCCTTGTTGCATCAATGCCCAAGTATGCCAGGCACTGAGTGACTACTCGCATGTGTTAGTGATGGTGGCTTGCGAGGCTTCAGTATTGTCGCTGCAGATAGGGCTCACCCCCACACCAAAGCTGTTGGAGGTGTACCTTTCCATGGAATTGTTTGGTTGATCCCAATTTCCTAGAAACGCCAATATTCAGTTTGGTGTGCCTTGCGGCTGAAGTAGATTCATCAAGGAGGTCTCGTCTCTTTCTTGGGGGTAATACCATGTCAGCTGCTTTGCATGAGCCACTTGGAAACTGTTTGGACCGCTCTAAAGCACTTGTAATTGACCTTACCTGTTGTGTCCATGCTAATGCTGAAATGTAAAGTTCACTGAACCAAGTTTTACTAATGAACCATAACAATCAGTGGAAAGGATGAATGGCTTTATTTGTTTTCTCGAAGTAAACACTGTTTCATACATAATACATGATGCTGGCAACGCTACTTTCATTAGCAGACAACTTAGTCTACACTCTGTTTCACGATAGCTTGGTGAACCGTGGAGGCTACGGCTCCTGCGACCCAGTAAGAATGTCGGAGCGAGGCACATGGCAGCATGTCACAGGAGCATCTGTGTCACCGCGTCAAATGCAAGGACCACCCACCAGAACCGGCTGTCAAATGCTCAGAAACCAAACGAATTCGGATGGACGTCCACTGCAGCAACATTAAGGCCTGTTCACACATGCAGCGGAGCGCTACAAGCATAGCGCTGACCTCGCGCTAAGCGCGTGATGACGGGAGCGTTCACCAGCTTTGTATCGCACCGTCGAAACTGTCGCTCATGGCAGACAATAAGTAGCTGACGGCACGTGAGGAGCGCTTCGCTGCATGTGAGAACCGGCCTTTACCGTCCGCTAGAGTAGCGAGGTCTTCAGTAACACTTTTATGAGGCAACCACATGCTCAATTTGCCCATGAATCTGTGGCGGGTGCTAATGCTAGGGCGATGTTTTGAGCGGAAGTGGTCGATTCACGGCTACAATTGTTTGAACGTCGATCACAAGCCACGTTTTTCTCAAAAGTGTTGATATATATTAAGTGTCGTTAATAAGTAACATATGTCTTAGTCTTTCTTCAGTGTCATGTAGTGTTGTGGTTCGAAGAATCCTACGGCAACACTACTAAAAGAAGAAGAGAAAAAAAAAAAAAGCCTAGAACTATGTTTTGTCGCAGATGGCGCTCTTGCTGTGGCGATAACGAGGACTCGACCGTGGAGTGTTGTCATGTGCCTGGCTCCGATGCTCTTATTGGGTCACAATGTTTGCCAAGTGACCGTGAAACGGAGTATAGTGTCTCACCTGTACACGCTATAAAACAAATGAGATGCCAGGTGTAGCCACTTTTGCAGCTGTAGCCCTTATATTATTGCTTGCTATGCTGTTTGGAAGAATACATAAAAAGATCAGCTTACAAAGCCAAGTCTAATTTTTTGCACTCTTGCATGTTACGAAAATAAAAGCATCACGCCTGAACACCAACATCTGTCTCTAAATTATTCCTTGCTGAAATTAAAAATAAATATACTGTGAATATGAACCAATACAATCTCAAACAGGTTTAAGAATGGATTCATTAAACAATTACTTCAATCTGCAAGCTTGAAATCAAGTATGCGTGTGCAATAAATACCCTGGTCTTTCGACTATCCCCGTTGACACTTGTTCTCGAAGGATAGGGACTTCGTCGATTTCACGGCAGTTCAAGCATTGGTCAGGCAACATGCTCGTGTTTATAGTTTCGGCTGTGCTATAGGAATAACAAAGGAGAGTCGTGTATTGCCGAGTCAAAGCAGAACTCTCAGGTCTAAAAGGCTTCTTAAAAATGCACTAAAGCTGGTTTTGACTTTATAATTACGTGACTCGAACATAAACTGCTCACTTCACCAAGTCTAAGGATTCACAAATAATCTGTGAACATGTATTCTGCTTTTATCTTCATTCACTTATGAAACTGGTTGCGTATATAAAATATCCAATCAATCTTCCACACCTCCCCATTGCGAAAAGGAAGAGGGAGATTCGTTGGCTTTTTTTTCTTGCCAAAAAACAGAAAAAGAAAAGGAATAGGTTTCAATGTGCACATTACGTTGAAGTGGGACAGTTACGGAAACAAATTTTGCATCTTCAAAGTTCATGAAGTAGGCAGATTACTTTCAAGTCATAAGAGAATAAAGTCAGAAACAACTTCAGCTCGCCTTCAATCAGATTTTCCCTTTAATCCAGGGACGTTTCACCTTCATAAGGTCATCAGTAGCAATTGGCATCCATTTAGGACTCTGTAATGGTAGATGTACAAGCTTGACCTCAAAGTCGCAGTGCCCTTCTTTCATGTGCTTGCAGTGCGACCCCCTCGTGCACTCGGTCCCAGACGGTGAAGCTGGTGCTGGACAGGATGTCGTCCCCTGTAAAAGAGTCGTCCCAGTAGTCAAACGATCCGGCTACACCCTGAGCAGCGTATTTGTCCTCCCATGCCATTACCAACTTAAAATCAGTGAAAGCCTATTTTGAAGCAACAGAATGCATAAATGAACATGTCTATTCCATTCCCTTCGTACCGAACACCTGCCAGAATCCAAGGGATGCAAATCAAAATAAATAACATTGCATTATTTGCTCTTTTGAGACTCGAACTTAAACCAACTCAAACTACCACAATTTTAAAGCTGGGAACTTCGAGGACACCTCTCCATATACTGAGATTACATGCTTGTCCCACTCCTGGCTTGTCCTCATCCTGGCTTGTCCTCAGCAGGGTTGGCCAGCGTGTTCTCATACTTCTGGGTTTTTAGTCTTGGAAGTTAAAGCTTTGGTTTTTGTCATTACTTGGTTGCTAGTAGATGCTGGAGGAAGCTCGTACTGTTACTTTGAAACATCAAGTTTACAAATTGAGCACTAACCCATAATGATGGCCAGATACAGAAGCTAGATTTGTCATGTCAAGGAGGTTGTCATAAAACAGTGGGCACGGGACTGAAATTAGCGGCGGAGCGGGCAACCAAGGCGCATTCGGGAGTATCGAAGAAGACAAGGTGTGTGAGTTTTGCGCGAAAGCAGGATGATCGGCCAGAGATGTGAGAATGTGGCGTCGAGAGAACTTCAACCGGGCTGACTTCATGACTGTTATCTGAGCCACATTAACCAGAAGAGAAGAGAGCGTAACAAGTGAACGACGCACTACGGCCGAGGAGGTAATTGACCAGGTTATTTCACCCAAGCACCACAGTAGTCATTTCAACGACCAAAAAAAAACGTCCAAACATCAGCACAGCAATACCAGCAGCGTGCCGAGGAATCGGGTTGTGTGTATATTTATGCAGTCTCAAACTCGATCTGCCTCGACGGGCAATGACTCTCCCAGCTGTAGATGACCGCTAGCCTGGGGCCCTTAACATGCATCACGTAGTAGTGATACACGACCGCACGCCGGTACAATGCTCATCCAGATCGAAACGGGCAAATGTGGGGCTTGAACACACAATCCTGGGTTCTGCAGCGCGAGCTTTCACTCCACATTTTCCGAGCTGGTGCGTGGAAGCCCCCTCGGCCACCAATCCCCCGGTGCCAAGGAATAACATATAATAAATGACAACGGTACAGTCGTCTGCAAAAGGTAGCTTTTCAGTGCCTTGAGCAACCAGGTTGAGATAATGTGAAACTTTCCTGCCATATGTGGCTTGCAAAATAGAGATGTATAAGTCATAAAGCGAGTAATATGAATTTTTTTTTACTAAAGATATCAGCATTTGTATTTGGCTTCCACAACTTCTGAAAGCTACCTCTGAGTGCATAGAGTGGTTTCTTCATAATCTTACCTCTATGGAGAACTTCCCAGCTGGTAACGGGGCCGTGAAACGCAGACCCCCTGGAAGTCTCACAGGCGCCGAGGGCATTACACGGGGCCTGCAACATGTCCTCCGAGCCCGGCAGCCGGTGGATTCTGTTGGAATGATGGGGTAGGGGGAACACAAGCACTTGCAGATTAACGGACCTAAGAAAACCAGTAGGCAGGTACGAAAACATGCTACTCGCCCCCGCAGCGTTTGCCTCACTGGCGCTTTATGGTGAAACAAATCAGCGGCGAGCGACTGATGGAACACGCATCAGAAGAACAATGCGTCTTGAGTGGAACACCTTAGGACGGCGCTTTATCGCGCGCGTGAAGCGTTGGCTTAGCCAGGTTTTTTTGGGGTCCATGTCACATGAGCGAATGACATTTTAGTGAACAGCGACATTTGAGCGAATGGACGTTTTAGCGAATAACGGGGGCGCGCGTTAACCCATCCGCCGCGCTGCGCTTTCGCCGCTTCGCGGCGACAGTCTGCGGCGGATCATAACAAAAATGTGAACTCATTTGGCCCACCCGAAAACGCCGCTTTGCGGCGTCCGACTATTCGCTAAAGTGTCATTCGATGAAACGTGGGCGTTCGCTAAAACGTCATTCGATCAAGAGAGTGCCTCCCATCTGTCGTTGGGGGGAAAGACTAAAAACAGACGACTGCGCACTCGACTCGGTCGTACCACACCGATCGCCTAATCCGCTGCTTTTCCGTAACATTCCGTTTTACTTTGCTATACTCCTTTCACGTGCAACTGAACTGTTTGTGAATGATGCGAAGTGTACAGAGACGACGTAACTCACCTTAGCGAGCGCCATGGGGCGGTTCTCCGGGTGCCAGCGCTGCGGGAGATCGGCCTTCGAAAGCTCGGCAGCCCGTTCAGCTCGCCGAAGAGGGCTGTAGCTACACTTCGATGCTTCACGGAGACACCGAGTCACTTGCTGGCGAAAAGTGGTCTCCGCCAAAAAGTAGAAAGGCTCACTCGCGTCGCACATCACCGTGCTGACGTTGGGGGGACTCACATCAACATCCGACCGCCGGAGACCGGGACGCATATTGGTGCTTCGTATGCTCCCAGGGTAAATTCTTTCGCGTCAAACGAAGTAACGTACATTTCGAGGTATTTCGGGTCTCTTTTTTCCGTATGCCGCGTCCTCGTTCAAGCAGTAGCAGTGGATTTCTGAGAGCCACAGAAAAGGCCTTTCGCAATGGCTGCGGAGAAGAGACGACACCGCTTTGTTTACCCCCGAGCTCCCGCCCGGAGCCATCCTCCAATCAGAGCGCGGCGAGGTGACGTCACGCCACCGGCCTGCGCGAAAGAGCAGACGGCTTTCCCTCCGTATACGACTAGGAAAGGGCTTCTAATGGCAAGGAATATCTCTTTATGATGTGCTCTCAAGCCTCGTAGTTTTCAGTACTTAGAACAATCCAGTCTGTTCAATTGCGAATTTGCGATGCACCTGCAAAAAACTGATGAGCAGTTCGGACGAAGTGGTAAGTATACTAACTTGGTTTTCCAGCCCCTGCCACAACCCAGGAGACAAGGAAAGCGGCGAGAAAAACTTCATACAAATAAAGTGCACGATTGAAATCGAAGCGAACTATCGAGCGAAAGTAAGAGCTTGAGCTGAGACGCCTTTTCACATGCTCAAGCAAATAAAGAAAAAAAAAAGAAGGGGAAAATAGCCGGCGGGCTTCGTCTCCTCAAATTAGTTTTAATTGGCTGGATTAATTAAGACACCCGAATAATTTGCTTTTGGTGAACGTGGTGTGTGATTTAAGCTGTTCAATCAAACGTTCGTTTCCCTGCCCCTTCCATAAGCACGAGGACTTGAGCGTACAGGCCAAATCTCGCCGAGATAAATATCCAGATCAGTTCATGCAATTTTTATCAGTTCCACGATCGGTTGTCACTATACACGAACTCAACTCTGTGACGTCACGGCGCGGTGGTGGCGCGTCGGTCGCACTTCCGGTCTGGGGCTGTGGGCAGAAGTCGCCATGCCAGACGTGTATTCCTGCGTTGTTTGAAAGGAACCAGACAAAAACCTGCCTTCTCGTCAAAACGCCGCGACTGGGGCCGTACCAAAAGTGTCGAGAAAGGTTTGAAGGTCAGTTTTCACGTACTCGGTTCGTCCGAGAATCTGGATATGTGCCGTGAAAAGGGAAAAGCAGACGCCGTCGGACAACGATTGCTTGGGCGGGGAGCACTTTGGGTTGAATTGACGGATACTTGTGGCCATCAGATTTATTTATTTTGTTCCAGCATAAACGCCAGAAAACGGTCAAGTTGTGCGGACCACCTGCGGACTACGTTCAGTGCGTCTTCAAGCTCAAACGGCGCCTGATCGTTCGAACTGTCGTCTGATTTTTCAAACGTTTCTGTTTGTCGTCTGCTCTCTTAGACGACGCCGGCCCGTAGACGAAGTGTTGGCCCGGTACTTGCGATAAGAAGTAAGTGCAGGCCTCAAAAGACTTAGATTTGAAGGTTGGTAAGCAGGCTTGATGTAAACAGTAGATACAAAAATATGCTGATCATTGTTACCAGTGACCATCACCGACTTGTAATCCCTAATTCACTTGGTCCGATTCTGCTTGCGATTTTCAGTATAAAAGTCGACTATCTCAGTTACGGTTCACGCTTTTGCAGCTCGAGCGGCGTCGCGACTGAAAATTGCGAGCGAAATCGTATCATGTGAATCAGGCTTTAGCGTACGTTCTGCGGCGTCCACGCGGAATGAATCGTCACATGTCACATTATTCACGCGAAGTTTTGCGGTGTAACGAGCCTCGGTAATTTCGCTGACGCCGCTCAAGTAGTCAGACATAGCCCAGGAAGACGTAGAATCAACAATTCGAACGCAAAAAAGGGCCGGGGGACTCACACCGACGCCGAAAACATCGCATTCTAAGGGTTTTTGTGAGCGACGGCGAGCTTCTTGCCCACACTCCCATCTCGCATGCGCGGCGCCGGTGGCGACCGCTAGGGGCGCTCCGGTTTGTTTGTAAACATGAGTTGGTGTATACAGTCAGCAAAACCTTTCCATAACCTGCATGTCTCAAGGAGAAGCTTACTTGCAGAGAATAAAAGGGGAACTAGCGCCACCTGAAGGGGCCTTAAGAAACGAAAGGCCAATATTAAATCAGCTTTAATCGGCCTGTCTAAGTACCTGAATGAAGTATTTTTTTCTTGAGAGCTTCGCTGCATTTCATTTGTTTCATTGAGACGTCCATTTCCAGGCCCTGACCCTTTCTGCCAGCAGCAGGGTTGATTTGGGCAAGCGCGTCAGCCCTCCCAACTGAACGTAATCGGACCTTAAATGCAACGTTGAGCGGAAAAAAATTTTCCCACGGTGGTTTCTAGGAGAAGCCAGCTTCCAGAGCGGGCTGGAGCTTAGCCCTAAATGCAAAGTTCAGCGAAAAATATTTTCCTACGGTGGTGTTTAGGAGAAGCGAGCTTCCAGAGCAGGCTGGAGCTTAGCCCTAAATGCAAAGTTCAGCGAAAAAAAATTTCCCACGGTGGTTTTTAGGAGAAGCCAGCTTCCAGAGCAGGCTGGAGCTTAGCCCTAAATGCAACGTTCAGCGAAAAATATTTTCCCACTGTGCTTTTTAGAAGAAGCCAGCTTCCAGAGCAGGCTGGAGCTTAGCCCTAAATGCAAAGTTCACCGAAAAATATTTTCCTACGGTGGTTTTTAGGAGAAGCCAGCTTCCAGAGCAGGCTGGAGCTTAGCCCTAAATGCAAAGTTCAACGAAAAAAATTTTTCCACGGTGGTGTTTAGGAGAAGCCAGCTTCCAGAGCAGGCTAAAGCTTAGCCCTAAATGCAAAGTTTTTTTTTTTTTTTTCTTTATTGAACTCAACATTGCAGCACAGAATGCTATGTCATTACAAGGAGCTCACGCCCAGCGACTTGTGGGCGAACTAAAGTTCTCTCATGTTCTTAATTACACTGAACAAGTGTGCCCACTCAGGCGTAGTTTCTGGTGTTCTGCAATACACCGTTTGAACCTCGTTTACAATATCGATAAAATGCTTCTGTACAGATTTAATTTTTGGGTCAGCATGCCGAAATTCCATCCTTGTTTTCCAAATACTAAACAGGCCGAGTATCATAAAAAGGTCATAGGGCACAGTGTCACTTTCTTCAACAGGTAAATACCTAATGGTCTCCGGGGACAACATAAAATCTTTTTTCAGGGTCCTTTGAAGAATGTCCCAAAAAAACACAGCATCCCAACAATAAATAAAAACGTGTTCGATGGTTTCTGGTGTCTTACACAGGAGACAATCCACCGACCACGGAACAAAGATTCCCTTGTCTCTTAGCCATGGCTTGACTGGCAATGTCTCGCTGTGCAATTTAAAGAAAAAGGACTTTACCCCTGGTGGAACACACATCCTTTTCACACGCTGGAGCACATCTTGACCCGGACATTGGCTGTACACCGATCGATACAGTGGCGCAGGGAAAAGGAGCTCAATCAGGTCACGACTGAGCTTCTTTTTAGTGACGCTACCCAGGTAGTCCATCGAAAAACGCGCTCGCAAAAACAATACAGCGTCTTTCACTTCTTTTAAATAACCAGAAAAACAAGGGGGTTCAGTACATTCACTAGTCACCAACACTGCCGGCAAAGAGTTCGCCAGTCTCACCTGGATAATTGCACGTAGGAAGGGATGATTCTGGTCGCGTAGGAAAAAGAAGCGCGAAACAATCTTACGGACGAAAAGATGCGAGAGGCCAAGGCCTCCCGACTTGACGCTCCGGAAAAGGTTATCTCTTCTCATCCTTTCCCACCCGGACTTCCAGATGAGAGTGGCGAACACCCTATGGAACTTTTGGATACTCATCCGTGTACATGCCAAAACTTGCATAATGTACCAGATCTTTGCAATCAAAAAAATATTACACACTGTGGCGCGCGCAAAAATTGACAAGTTCCGACTGACCCAAGTGTCCGCCTTCGTCTTTAAATCTTTTGCGAGCTCCGTCCAGTACGGCGTGCTAACTTTGTAATATTCCAAGGGCACCCCAAGATATGTACATGGCGTCGCTTCCCAATTAAAGCCTGCAAAGTAATGTGGTTTTAAAGCCCACCTCCCGTGCCACACCCCACAACATTTCCCCCAGTTCACTGCCGCTCCTGTGGCGTTACAATATTCTTTCGTGAGGGCGACAGTTTCCATGACGCTTTCTTCGTCTTTACAAAAAATAGCCACATCGTCAGCGTATGCGGACAATTTAACTTCAACATTATTGAAAAGAAACCCCCGGGTATTCTTGCTAGCTATCACGCTCACACAGAAAGGTTCAAGGTACAGAGCAAATAGTAAGGGTGAAAGGGGACATCCCTGCCTGACTGACGAAAGCACTACAATTTTCTTAGAAACATTATTATTTAACACCAGCCTGGTGGTACAACCTTTGTACGCCATATCCACGCCCTTTAGGATAACTTTGCCTACATTAACATGCAATAAAATACTCTTTAGAACATCATGCCTAACTCTATCAAACGCTTTCTCCAAGTCTAATTGTATCATTGCCACTTTATCCCTCCCAACAGTTTCAAAAATGCTTCTCGCTATATGAATATTAGTTTGAATGGACCTTCCTTTAATGCCACATGTCTGGTGATCCCCGATGAGGTCCCGAATGACACACTGGAGCCTACGCGTAATAATCTTAGTGAAAATCTTGTAGTCTATGTTACATAATGTAATCGGCCTATATCCCGTCACGCTGAGCCTTTTCGACAAGTCCTCCGACTTCGGTATCAGTATGGTGTGGGCCTCTACAAAGGAACGCGGTAGACAGTAATTGTCGAATGACTCATTAAATACGGCCAACAGTACGGGACTAAGGGCATTTTTAAAGGTTTGGTAAAATTCTGCACAAAGCCCATCAGGCCCCGGGGTTTTCTGTCTCGCTAGCGAATCTATTGCTCGTTCAACCTCTCCTAGCGTGATTTCTCCCTCGAGCCACGTTGTAACCTCCTCATCCAACTTGGGCATGAGTGACAAAAAATCTTTAAATTTACGAAATCCTACGGGAGTCGGTTTTTCCCCAAAAAGTTTCCCAAAGTACTCAACAAAAGCTTCTTCTATAACATCTTTAGCGCTGCTAATTTTCCCTTTATATTCTATTTCTCTTATTTCTCGAGTCAGGGCATACTTCTTTTCCTCAGCCAGAGCTCGCTTAGTCGGCTGTTCTCCCAACAGAAATTTCTCCGAGCGTGCCCGCACAACTGCCCCTTTATACTTTTCATTGTATATTTGATCTAACTCCATTTTGATGTGCCGAATGTCATCGCTGCAAGTTCCAGGGCGCTCACACTCTACTCGACACAATGCGTTAAGGTCTTGTTTCAACTGCCTTTCGCGAGCTCGAGCTTGGAAGGTGATGTTACTGGCCCTTTCTACCGCGGCCAACTTAACTCCCTCTTTGAATTCTTCCCAGGCCTCCCTGATACAAGTCTCTTTTTCGACCACACCCCGCAACAGCTCAGCAACAGTGGTTGCAAAAAGTTTATCATTCAAAAGTGTTCGGTTTAATTTCCAAAGCTGCCAGTTAAAACGAGACGCTCTGCTTTCTTTCCTGCCAATTTTTACGCTTACGAGGCAGTGGTCAGTAAAAAAAATGGGCTGGACACGGTAGCCGTGCACAGTGCGCAGTACGTCAACTGTAACATAAATACGGTCTAAACGAGCGTGTGACGTATTTTGAAAATGCGTATACCTTACGCCACTTCTTATGGTGCATAAGGCACCGACGTCCTCGAGCCCACACATATTTACAATTTCTTTCAAAAGTCTCGAACTGCTGTCACCACTCGTGGCCGTTCCAGTACTATCCCTCTCGACACAGACACAATTAAAGTCACCCATGCACACGATCACTTTGTCGCACTCCAGATAATTACGTAGAAATTGAAAAAAGACTTCTCTATCCTTCGCGTTATTGGGAGCGTAGATACATATCACTCGCCACTGGACATCTGACAGCGTGAAATCACAAGAAATGAAGCGCCCGCACTCATCGATAACAACTTGCAAGTTTTCATAGTTCACAGACTTTCTTAAAAAAAGAAAACAGCCCCCCGACCGACCCGCAGCATGACTAGCGGCAACTTCATATCGCCGGAGAAAAGGCCTCAGCGCTCTCTCAATGTTCTCTTCTGTCTGCAATTTAGTTTCTTGCACCGCAAGAAAGTCCGGCTGCTCGTCCTCTACCAGACGCTGCAGTTGGTACTGCTTCCTCGACGAGGCCAACCCACGGACGTTTAAAGTGGCGAAACTAAGAGACATATTACTATCACGGAGCTAAAATAGAGAGAAGGCTAGGCTACGATACAAAAAGCCGCTTAAGTCAAACAGGTAAACACATACAAAAAAAATACAACACTCTTACTTGTACTAGGCCGCCTAAGCAATATTATTCAGCCGCAGTACAGTTCCTTCACTATGGAGCCTTCGGCACGTGGCCCTCCGGTGGTCCTTGAGGGGGGGCGTGGCGTCGGCCCCTCTTGGAAGTCACCGTCTGCCACCTCTGGAGTACCCTCTCCTGCAGGTTCTGCGGTTGACCGGGCTCCTGGGTTGGTGTCGGTTCCAGGGAACGCTTGGCAGAGCCGCTCACGGCGTCCATCTCGCCGTCCTTCTGGTCGTTCTCCCTTTCAACGGCAGCCAGGGTCGACTCCCGGCAGGCGTAGTCGTGCTCGCGCTCGTCCCCCTGGAGGGCCGAAACGCGTGCGACGTCGTCGCCCACCGGTTTCGGGGTGTCCGTGTTTTCTGCGGGGAGCTCGGCCGTGGTGGACGTCTCGGGTGGTGGGACGACCACGGTGGTCTCGGCTTGCCTCTGAGGTTGGCTGCCCTCCGAGTTTCCGCCTGCCGCGTCCTCAGCTTCATCCTGGTCCATGAGTAGCTCCGAGGCGTCGTCCTCAGGGCCGCCGTTAGCCACGTCTGCGTAGGTTTTCTTGCACTCGTCGCGTAGGTGTCCGAAACGCCTGCAGCTCTCGCAGCGCGGCACTCGGCACTCCCTACGAATGTGGCCGGTTCGACGGCACCTGAGGCAGAGCGGAGCTCTACCCGGGGCCAGCACCAAGGCCGTGCAGCCTGGAAGTCGTAGTTGGTGCGGCAGGTTTTCGAGCGTGACGCCTTCCCTTAGGGTCAGCCTCACGACTCGGGTGGTCGACTGCACACCTTCGAAGCCTCCGACACGCCAGGTCTCTCGGGCGACGTCCTCAACCTTGCCATACGGCTCCAGGGCCTTCTTCACGGTTTCGTCCGGAAGGTGAAAAGAAATCCAATGAAGCTTCAGCCTCACCTCGGCCTTCTCCGGGTCGACGACGATGCAGCGTCTCCCTTTAGCCTCGAAGGACACGGCGTCCACCAGCTTCTTCTTGGCCAGCGGTGTTTTCAGAGTCACCATCCACACGTGGTTCATCTGAAATGAACCACATGCAGCGATTTCGCCTAGTACTCCCGCTTTCTCGAGTCCGGCTTTAAAATCTTCAATGCGATAAGGCCGCGCCGTAATGTCGGCGTGGAGAAAGACAGAATTCAGGGCGTGAACGCCCTTCGGCAGGGGAGGCAGTACGATCCTGTATCCTTGGGAGCCTAACTCAGCAGAAATTCCACGGCTATCAGCGGCCGTTACCGCTCCGACGGAGCTCATCGCGATACGTCTTGATAGCTCGGAAGCCAGGCGACGAATCCCCCTAAATGCAAAGTTCAGCGAAAAATATTTTCCCACGGTGGTTTTTAGGAGAAGCCAGCTTCCAGAGCAGGCTGGAGCTTAGCCCTAAATGCAAAGTTCAGCGAAAAAAATTTTCCCACGGTGGTTTTTAGGAGAAGCAAGCTTCCGGAGCAGGCTGGAGCTTAGCCCTAAATGCAAAGTTCAGCGAGAAATATTTTCCCACGGTGGTTTTTAGGAGAAGCCAGCTTCCAGAGCAAGCTGGAGCTTAGCCCTAAATGCAACGTTCAGCGAAAACAAATTTTCCCACGGTGGTCTTTAGGAGAAGCCAGCTTCCAGAGCAGGCTGGAGATTAGCCCTAAACGCAACGTTCAGCGAAAAAATTTTTCCCACGGTGGTTTTCAGGAGAAGCCAGCTTCCAGAGCAGGCTGGAGCTTAGCCCTAAATGCAAAGTTCAGCGAAAAATATTTTCCCACGGTGGTTTTTAGGAGAAGCCAGCTTCCAGAGCAGGCCCCTAAATGCAAAGTTCAGCGAAAAATATTTTCCCACGGTGGTTTTTAGGAGAAGTCAGCTTCCAGAGCAGTCTGGAGCTTAGCCCTAATTGCAACGTTCTGCGAAAAAGGCTTTCTCACTGCGGTTTTTAGGAGAAACCAATTTCCAAATCAGGCTTTCTTTCGTGGACACCAGCGTCACCCGAAAACGTCCTATGAAAGGACAATATTATATCCGTATTAACTGGCGTGACTAATTAGGCATCAGACTAAGGTATTTTACGTAAACATTCCTCTTTATTGGGGTTTCCATTTTTTTTTAAATTGAGGCGTCAATTTCCAGGGCCTGGCTGTTTGCACCAGAACCCGGGCTGATTTGAGCGCGCGTTGCAGATTGGGATTATAGCGCTGGATATCCTCACTTATCCAAATACCGCCATCACTTGATCGTGACACGGGCGCTCCTATTGGAAGCCGGCGACGAGCCGCCATTTTTTTACTCATGGCGCATCGCAAATCCAGACGCGCACGTTCCTAAGCGGAGAGCAAGTCGTCTGCTTCTTGCGCAGGGGTTACGGTGACGTCAGAACGACACCGAGCTCTGATTGGCTATTATTGGAAGGATAATAAGTACACCTCAATGCTAGATGCCTTAAGGTCGACCCACTTTCTTTTTTCAATCAGCCAATAAGAGCTCGGCGTTCAGACATCATCGGAACCTCCGTGCAAGAAGCAGACGAACTCGCGCTCCGCATTGGTCTGCCATGACTGCCGGTGACGCGCCGCCGTTTGCAAGCACGCTCCGCATTGGTCTGCCATGACTGCCGGTGACGCGCCGCCGTTTGCAAGCACGCTCCGCATTGGTCTGCCATGACTGCCGGTGACGCGCCCCCGTTTGCAAGCACGCTCCGCATTGGTCTGCCATGACTGCCGGTGACGCGCAGCCGTTTGCAAGCACGCTCCGCATTGGTCTGCCATGACTGCCGGTGACGCGCCGCCGTTTGCAAGCACGCTCTGCATTGGTCTGCCATGACTGCCGGTGACGCGCCGCCGTTTGCAAGCACGAAGGCGAGGATAATTAAAGACTATTTTTTTTTTGTTACTGAAGATGTTCCGTTAATTTTAATTAACAGTTGATCCAAGCTTTGTTAAACTACTGACAGCTAGCCATTTATTATTTTTACAATACGTGTAAATTGTTTATCATATCCACTAAACCTGTATTGTCAATTTAAAAAAAAAACTTTAATAATAAGACAGAATGAATGTTTAATGCGGCGAACTTGTACCAAGAGACATAAAGTAACAAAGACCAAACATACTTTGACGGCGACGGCAGGACTCGAGCAGCCATACGAAGCTCCTTTTGAAAGCACGTGCGTATCTAGGAGTTTTCGCGCTCGGACAAACATGATTCTCTAATCATCTGGAATGTTCCAGATGACTAGAGACTGTGACATCAACGACGACCTTAACTATGGCCTTGAAAACGACCCGGACTATGTACTCGATAAAGGACCAGGCTACGACCTCGACGATAACATGATGACGACTTGGACGACGACGCCGACAATGAAACGGACAATGACTTCAACGACAATCGCGACTAAAACCTTCATAGCCGCGTCCCACTAGAGCGACAGACATCAACAAACGACAGCGACACACGACACCGACAGACAGCCTGTTTGTCGGAGTCCACCGTCCCACCTGGCGGACACGACGCGGAACACAGGGGCGAGGAAACTTGTTTCCTAGTGGGACTGGAGTTGTCAACAAAACACTTCAAAATACACAGACAAACAGAGTCTGGCGACGCGGTTTTCGTGTTTTGCTCTTTGGGCATAAAACGCGCCGACAAACACGGTGAAAGTGAAGACGATTACTTTATTTCTTGATTAAAGCTTCCGCTTCTCTTCATTTGCCGTTGGCGAGTTTCCGTAAACAGTCGTGACAATGGACACCAAACTTTTTCCGAACTAGAAATACCCGAATCGTTCCTTTTTCGAGCCGTTCGAGGCATTCTAGATGAGCGCCACGGAGTTTCACGCTGATTTTGAGGATGTTCTTCATATTCGAATGACCGAGGGCAGGCGCTCTTTGGTGGACAATACGGCATCCCGATTATCACAGAACCTGATGACAAGTCCCTCGTCTGCCGGAATGGCTTGCCATGGAACATCGTGTCCTACTTCGTGGTGAGCGGTCTTACTTTGGTCAGTCCTCGCACATGGGTGTATCCATCCTGATGCAGGGGCGTAGACTTCGGCGTCTTGAAGCACCACCTCACGCACCAAGTTTTCGCGAGCAAAACCAGCCACAGCAAAATCTCTTTCGCAACACGACCGCCCGGCGCCAGCCAGCAAGCCGCTCCCGCGACCACTCCGTGCAATCGAGGGACCGGAACTGCAGGGCCCCGAACGAGGAGTGGCCGCCAAGGGCTTCTCGTTCCGGGAGGAAGGGTAGAAGGGTGGGAAGGGAGGCAACAGGAGAGGCATAAACGGGCGAGGAGAATAAGTTTGCCTCCGAGAGATGTTCCTCAAGGGGTGTCCAAACAGGACACTACAAAACTCACGACTCCGGCAAATCGTGAAAATTGAAGCGGACGCTTCTATTTTTACGGTCTGTCGGAGTCGTGAAAATGTTTGCAGGAGTCGTGAAAATTTTTACGATCACGACTGCTCTCCTCTTCAGATTGACGTCACACGCCACCTGCGTCTGGCTCACCTCGCCAACGCCCTCGCGTACCGCCGTCGCCTCGGCTCGAAGGCCAAGGAGGTCCGGCTTTGGGTGTATTTGGGACATTCCTGCGTCAAAGGGTGCGTTTCGCCCGCCTCGGATCTGCTGTCTTTGTCGAGATTCACTTTCGTCGTGATGGCGTCCGATGCGGTTCCGTATTGCGAGCGGAGGCCTTGAGCGATTGACCGACAGCCAACAGAGCGTGTGAGTGGCTCTCCGGACCCACGTGATGAGCAGAGCCAGGCCGCCGTGGAGGAAGCGAGGGGGAGATTTGACGGAGGGAAGTTTCCCGTTTCCCCCCGGGAAGAATTGGCGGAGGGAAATTTTCCTCCGACGGCCGGAAGTGGATGGCGGCAGAGCGCGGCACGATTTGCCGGAGTCGTGAGTTTTGTAGTGTCCTGTTTGGACACCCCTTTAGTGGGACTGCTTGCTGCGCTTCAAGTCCAACGACAGACAAGAACTCGTCCGTCGTCGATCGTTTGTCGGCGCTTGTCGGCGATTGTCGCGGGTGTCGGTCGTTGCAGTGGGACAGCATCGGCGACATGGAACTTTGTGGTTAACGAGAAAAGAGTCAAAGTACAGGCTAGCTGGTGGAAGTCAACCATTTCGTCGTTTACCCTGAGACTGGGTTTTTTTTTTTTTTTTTTTTGAAGAGCAGAAGAGCTGAGCAGCTCTTCAAAAAACCCCCCAGTCTCAGGGTAAACGACGAAATGGTTAACTTTGTGGTGTCGTCGGACAAAAACCGGTGTTTGTCGCTCTAGTGGGACGAGGCTCGACTACCTTGATGACGAACCCGATGACGATACCGACGACGAGTGGGATGTCGACCACGAACACGAACAGGACGACGACGCTCGGTTCGTCGCTCAACCAGCGGAGCAAGTCCGCCAGCTCGGCCGCATTTTGATTCAAGCCACACACTTGCTGACGACGGCCGGTACAATCTTTGTCGCCCCGACGTCGTCGCCCGACGGAGCATGGCCATTGTCACGCCGCCCTCTGCGACTCGAAGGTGATTCACGTGGTCCGATTCGAACTGAACAATGCTCGATAGGACTGCGAAAATCTGCGTTTTAAGTGAATTCGTAGTTTGTCCTTTTCTTGTTTTGAGTTGCCGATTTCATCGGTGTTGCATCGGGGCGGTGCGTTTTTTTTTTCTTTTTTTTTTTAAAGGTGGGAGTGTTGCGTGAGAATAGCTGAGTCAGCAGCGTGTTCTACTTCCATGCCACTGGCTGGGGCTTGTCCCTTTTATCTTTCTTTTGTTTGCATGACTGGAATGTTCCAGATGACCCGAGAATCACGTTGTTTGTTCGAGAGCGGAAACTTCGGGATTCCCACGCGCTTACAAAAGGAGCTTCGCATGGCTGCTTGAAGGGGTATCCAAACAGGACACTACAAAACGCACGACTCCGACAAATCGTAAAAAGCGAAGCGGGCGCGTCCGCTTCAATTTTCACGATTTGTCGGAGTCGTGCGTTTTGTAGTGTCCTGTTTGGACACCCCTTGAGTCAGTCGCCCTTCCGTCAACGTCAAACATTTGAAGCGGGCGTGTAACCACAGAGCTACGCCACAGCCCTGTTGCATGCGCTGACCTTGGACGGTTTGGAGCATCCAAAGTTCGCAACGTCGCCACAAGATGGCGCCACAACCCCACTTGCTGGTTGCTGCCTACTTGCTGCAGACTTGCTGTGGCTCACCGCAACAGCCTAGCTGGCCTAGCGGCAGTTGCGGTGAGCGGACGTGTTTCCTGGTTCTCCTCGAGCATCCGAAGCTAAGTGCCAGTTCTTCTTCTTTTCTCTCTCTTTTTTTGAGAGTTGATTGGAAGTGACTATGCGGTAGCAGTATTAAGGGCCATACGCACATTCGCGTTTGAACGCGTTTGAGTGCGTTGCGGAGTCCTTGCGGCCAGGTGCGGTCGCTTGCAGAGCGACGCGCGCCTGCCCGCAACGCTCGGTAGCGCGACGCAAGCGAGTAGAGACTCGCTCAACTTTCCGAAACGTTGCGGTGCGTTCGGGTGCGTTCGACCAATCAGAAGCCGAAAGAGGAGAGGGGATGACGTGTTCGCTCGCCCCACCCGGCCGACTCGGCGAGACGTATCCGGTTCGCCCTTCGCAGTGCTTGCTTTTTCGTTTTGGGGAGCGGTGGGGACTGTATTTTCCAAGGCTGCGATGGTTCAAGCTTGACAAAACGTCGGGGAAGCCGGCGAGATTGTCCCAAGATCGAACACCGACGCCGTCGCCGTGCGCCGCCATGTTGCCTTGGATTTCGCTTACTATTGGTGAGCCACTAGCGACGATAGCGCGTTCTTATTGGCTCTTGACTGCGGTTGACTGCGTGTCAACGCAACTGTGCGTACAAGCTTGGCGCAAGCGGTCTTCGCAACGCAACGCGTCCGCTTGCCGCTACGGAACGCACCGCGCTCAAACGCGAATGTGCGTATGGGCCTTTAGGTTTGAACAGCAGCAGTTAACGTTAGTTTCGCGAAGTAGGCTCTGTTTGAATTTTTGGCGGGAAGGGACGGTTCGTTCCCGGTCTAGACATCGGTCTAGATTTGGGTCGGCATGACAAGGGTGGGGACGGGTTCGTGCAGTGCGAGGGGTGTGGGAGGTGGTGTTACCTAGAGGAGACGGGTTTCGGGAGCCTGGGGGAGGCGGCGGGGATGAGTTTCGAGTGTCGGCTTTGTGTGAAGCTTCAGCAGGTAACTGGGGAATGGGAGGGTAGAGTTCGGGAGATTGTGGCCCAGCTTAAGGCAAAAGGAGAGAAGCGGGTGGGTCTCGAGGCCCAGGTAGAGGAGCTGACTAGGCAGCTTAATTATGAGAGGGAGCAGCGGTTTGGCCTCGAGAAGCAGGCGGAAGAGCTGGGGGAAGTATGGAAGGCGGGTTTAGAGGAGCGTAATGGCGCGTTCACACTGGAAGCGGATCCGCGCGTTCTCAACCGCAAAGCGGCTAGGATCGAGCGGTTGGAGCGCGTTTTTGCCAACCGCTTCGGGACCGATTTCTCCCAACCGCTTTCACGAACTGCAAAGCGGCAACCAATCACAACGCGACGCTGACGTGACGTCAGTGACTTTCGAAACAAGATGGCACCTGTCGCTGGTGGGGCGTCCAAGGCGCTGTAGTCCTAGCGCTGTAGTCTTAGTTTTCGACAAATCAACGGAGAAAATTGATGTTCGCGTCCGTCACTTAAATCCGCCGCGAAAAGAATTGACTCGGTAATTTTAACGGGCTTAGCACCAGTGATTTGGTTCGGGTAAGAGTTTGTTGATTATTCGGGGTGCCACAGCCCAAGCTCGCTGCCTTTATAATCTCTGCCTGTAGAACGTCGGAACCCGCCCCTGAAAGACTGAAATGTCAGCTTTTCTACCCACTAGGATAGTCGCGTGAACTATTGAAAGCTTTCGACACCGTGCATGACCACCACGAAGGCCCATAGAGACGTCGTGAGCTTGATTGCGTAGCCAACGCACTACCGCGGAGGGGGCAGGGTACCTGCGCTAGCTCGAGCTGTAACGTCTACTACGAATAAAATAAATAAAGAGAACCTACTCAAAGAATGAATTGTACGTACCAGACAATGCAGAGGTAATCCATACGGCGTTTATTTGAGCTTAATTTCAAACGAACAGTAGACTCGATCGACGAGCGAGAGGCGAGAGGAGAGTCCGCCACCAACGAAGCCACGACCGGCTAGCACCGAACACATTCCTCCGCACCACGGTCCACCCCACCGCTCACAACTTCGAAAATGATAAGAGCGAACAACAACGAGGGGGGAAAACTGGCCCTCTATCCCGAAAACAAGGTCAGCTATTCATGCGGGAAGGGTCCACTTCGAAGAAAAGGTCGGGGGCATCCTGTTCTGAGTCAGCAAGGCGCGCCTAGCTGGGCTTTGCTTGTGAGCGAAGTCGAGGGAATCACAGGCGAGTTCGGCGGGTCTGTGCTTCTTTTTTCGCTGCCTGAACTCGTGATGCGCGCGAACATCCTGGAGAGAAATATTCTGAGTGCCAAAATAGCAAAAGTTTGGATTTGGATCTTGAATTAAAGTGGATTTTGGATTGTAAAACAGGGTTGCCAAACGCAAGTCTCAAAATATCACGCGTGATCACCGAGAAACCGCCAACCGCCTCTCGGTGTGTCTGAACGGGGTCGCTCGCGAACGCGGATCCGCTTCCAGTGTGAATGCGCCATAAGAGGGAGTGTGACAGTAGGGTAGAGCGCCTGGAAGGGGTAATCCGAGCGAGGGAAGAAAGGTGGAAGTGTCAGCTCTAGCGGGACGAACCACCAGTCTGCAGGCTGGGGTCCCTGGTGGTCGGGAGTCCGGCCTGTTGGCTGGCGGGCTCGACGACGCTGGAGAGCTGAGTGACACTCAGCTCAGTGGCGCCTTCGAGCAGCAGGCGTTGGGCAGTCAGGTGACAGGAGATAAGTCACAGGACAAAGGCGCGCAGGCACCAGGGGGATCTAGGGTACTGGTAGTGGGGAGCTCTAACGTAGCACGGGTTAGGAGGGGTGTACATAACAGGGTGAAGGGAGACCAGAGGGTAACCGTAGAGGTCCAGCCAGGGAAGTGTATGGTGGATGTTATGACCGCAGCACGTGAGGGGGTGTGGGATAACCGGGAGGGAAGGAACCTAGTTATAGTTCATGCGGGGCTTAATGATGTGCTCAAGGGTAGGAGCCAGAACCTCGGAAAGCAGCTAAGCGTGGGAATACGTAAGCTGAGGGACGTGTCTGAGAATGTGCATGTGGTTGTGTGCACCATTCCAGAAGTTCGGGGGCAGTCCGGGTTAACGGAGAGGAGGGTTGAGTCGACAGCTTCGGTACGACGCAATGGAACAGAGAACTGTACGAGGCTGGCTCCCGCCCTTTTGCAGATGGCATTCACTAAAGTGAGGCCACGGGTTACAGGGTGGGGAATAGGATGGGCCACACGGTGACTGCTTTTTTGGGGGGACCGAGGGCCCTGGGGGCACTGAAGTAACTGAAAACCCAACAAAGTCAGGAGAGGCACCCAGGGTTAAAAAGAGGAGAAAACGTAAGAACAGGTATAAAAAAACAGCACAATCGGACATTGGATATATTAACATGCAGGGTGGTAGAAATGGGTTAAAATGGGAAGAAGTAGAGGAGCAACTGAGAAAGGAGGATTTAATGGTGTATGGGTTTGTGCAAACATCTCAGAGACATGGAGCAGCCACCCTGCAACCCTGACTATGTGTGGGAAGAATGCAACAGAATGGAGGGAACGAGGAAGGGAGGTGGAATTGGAGCATTTATTAAGAAGAATATGAACTTTCAAAGGATCAGAAAGGAGTGCACCGAACATTTGTGGCTGCAAGGTAAAGTCGCTGGGGAATCAACAGTTCTTGGAGTTGTTTACTTATGGACAGGGACAGGTGCTAAAGAGGAAAACAGAAAAATGATTGATTGCATATCAAGAGACATTAGTGAACAAGGGGAAGGCTCCGAAATAATTGTTATGGGAGACATGAATGCCCATATTCATCACATTCGGTGGGAGTTGGTACCACGAGGGCGCCACAGTACTTGGTGCCCCAGTAGACTTCCGGTAGTGTATTTATTTACTCTTCAGTAACACACAGCGATCGGGTACGAAGTGTTTCCTTCAGAAAAGTTTCTGTAGTACGTAAGAACATTAGTGCATTGTACAAAGTAGTGCAAATAACAAAAGGAGGAGAGACAAATGGAAAACAAGAGGAAAACCGGAAGCGTGCAGGGGTCCGCCGATAGGGGGTGGTAGTGAGCTTGTTTGCAAACAAACATCGGTGAATTGAGGGTCTGGATGGGTATACGGACTCAACTGGAAGCATATTACTGGAACTGGTGGAAAAACATGACTTAGTTTTACGTAATACCAGTCAGAAGTGTGACGGGCACATAACTTGGGAAACTGGCAATCTGCATTCAACTATAGATTACGTACTCATGTCACACAAAATATATGGTAAGTTACAAGTAATGAAAATAGATGAAGAAGGTTCCAAAAGTCTTGGTAGTGATCACAAACGTATTAAGCTGAATTTTGCCAGAGAAGTAAATGCTGAAACTAGACAGCATAATTCAAAGCAAACTTTCTGCAGCGACAAAGAGTTGGAAATAGTTGTTGAAAGAATAGAGGCAGCAGTTTCAGGGCAACGGTATACAGATTGGACCTATGAGAGCCTAACTAGGCGTTTTGCTCTAGAACTAGACAAAGTTCAGAGTAAACGAAAGGGGAAGCAAGGACATAGACCAAAAAGCTGGTGGGACAAAGAGGTGAAGCAAGCGATACAAAAACGTCAGGAAGCCTCTAGAGAACACAGGTATTCCAAGCGTAGTGGGGAGTCCGAAACGGAAGTAAAAAGAAAATGGGACAATTTTATAACATGTCGCCGAGAGGCATCCAGTTTGATCAATGCGAAAATTCAGGGAAAGGGTGAGGAATGGATGAGTAATGTAAGTAAGAAAGATAGAAACGCTGCCAAGAAGTTTTGGGAGCACTTGAACTCACTTGGTGAAACGACGCAAGCTTGACAGAGGTTCATACTCTCGCATCAGGGAGATCAATTAGAGGGAGATGATGCGATACAATATATAGGAGCAGTGATGGAGGAGAAATTTCGGGAACGGGTAAATGTGGAAAATAGGAGAACCGAAGGAAGTAGCAGTCCAGTTTGTGACATCGCGGATTTTGGACAAAGAGAATGGGAAAAGGCGGAACGAAGAGTCCCTAGTGGCACGTCGACAGGCACAGATGGTATCCCTATCAAGCTGGTGAAGAATTTGGGTCCTAAATCTAAGGCAAAACTAAGGGAGGTAGTGAGTACCATGATAACAAAAGGAAATATTCCAGATGAATGGAGGCTTGGTAGGATGAGTATGATATATAAGGGAAAGGGAGATAAGTCTGATATTAGGAATTATCGTCCCATAACCGTGACACCGGTTATTTACAGGTTGGTAATGCAGATTATAAAGAACAGACTGGAGGAATGGGTAGTTGCGAGGGCATACTGGGCGAGTTACAGAACGGGTTTCAGAAACAAAGAAGGTTGGATGACAATTTATTTTCTCTAACACAGTGTATAGAAATAGCGCAAAAACAAAAAACAAAAAACACACAGCTCTGGCTGGCATTTCTGGATATCAAGGGTGCCTATGGCAATGTGAACCAAAGGTACCTGTGGGACATAATGGAGAGCTTAAACCTAGATGGACTAACAGCACTATTAAGGAACATTTACAAAGATAACAAGGTGATTATAACATGGGAAGGAAAGGCGACAGGGAAAATAGAGATAAGACGAGGCCTTAGGCAGGGGTGCCCGTTATCGCCTTTGCTGTTTATGTTGTATCTGAGAGGATTGGAGGATAGACTAGAGAAGAGTGGGCTTGGATTCGACCTTTCTTACAGTAAGCTAGGCCAAAAAATTCAGCAATCCTTACCGGGATTGATGTATGCGGATGATATCGTACTAATGGCTAACAACAGGACAGAGTTGCAGGAATTAATGAGCATCTGTGGTAGGGAAGGAGAGGAATTAGGTTTAGAATTCAGTAGCGAAAAATCAGCAGTCATGATTTTTAACGAGGATGAAGTTGAGAGGCTGAAGATACAGAATATTACAGTTGAGAGAGCTAGTAAATACAAGTATCTAGGAGTATGGATATGTGATGGTGCAGATTATCTCGGAGAGCATGGAAAGTATATAATAAGTAAGGGCAACAGAAATGCAGCTGTAATGAAAAATAGAGCACTTTGGAATTACAACAGGTATGAGGTGGTGAGAGAGATTTGGAAAGGGGTCATGGTGCCTGGATTGACTTTGGAAACGCAGTGCTATGCATGAAATTCGAAGTTCATGCGACACTAGAAATAAAACAGCGCGGAGTAGGTAGACTGGCTTTGGGGGCACATTGCAAAACGTTAAACCAGGGAGTACAAGGAGACATGGGATGGGCGTCATTTGAGAGCAGGGAAGCGGTGAGCAAGGTGGAATTTGAGGATAGGTTGAGGCAAATGGATGGGGAGCAATGGGCACGAAAGGTATTCAGCTATTTATACATGAGGAGTGTATACACAAAGTGGAGACAGCGCGCCAGGAAATGAAGAGGGAAGTTTTTGGGCTATAGCGAAGATACGGAAGAGCAAGTCTCAGTTAAGAAGAAAGTTAAGGCCACAGAAAGAGATCGGTGGCTAGAGGGAATGCAGACAAAGACGGCTCTGGAAAGCTATAGATTAAACAAAACAGTTATTGCCAAAGAAAGCATTTATGACAATTCTAGGGGAAGCTCATTGCTGTTTCAGGCGAGGACGGGTGTTCTGCGAACCAGAACATACAGAGTGAAGTACCAGGAAATGGATACAGTGTGCACTGTTTGCGGAGAGGAGGACGAGACGGCTGAGCACTTGATACTCTACTGTAAAGGGCTTCACCCTATGCCTACCGAACACGACATAGACTTAATACAGTCATTGGGTTTTAGAGACAGCGAAGGAGAAGTGGATTTCAAGACAGTAGAGATTACCAAGCAAAGATTAAGTGAATGGTGGCAGAAATCGAGAGAAAACTAGGTATTTTCTCATTCACTGATGGCAAGGGGGTTTCATAGCCTCACTTTCTTTGCACTGCGGAGTGAATATAGATTTCACATTTAAATATTCTAAGCTAAAATGGTTAAACAAAATGGCTAGGTGGCGTAAGCTACCGCCCGATCCAAAGGGCTCAGCCGTATTCATTCATCCATCCATCCATCCATCCTGTGGAAACTGGTTAGGAAACACTTTAAAACGTAAACGTAAACGTTAACGTAAAAGGAGGGAGTCAAACTGATCATTATTCCTGTTCGATTCGGGTTCAGTAGCCTTGAGTGTTGTTCCGGTTCGGTTCTGGTTCAGTGATGTGTTTGAAATAAAGGTTCGGTTACCGATTCCATGAAGCGCAAACCAGTTTCAACCAGATTACAGATAAAAAGCCCGAATCTCCCAGTCATTAAAAATAAGAGAAAGTTAATTAGTGTCATCTACGTTGTAAAAAAAGTCACCAGAAACCGTGCTGCGGAAGCGAGGACAGCAAAACAAACATATGCTTAATTTTGTTTTGTGATATTGAATTTTTAACGCGAACACCGTTCAATGAAAAATACGTCGTTATATAGGTGCTTGGAAACCGTAACAAAGTGTAGTCTCACATGTGAAGTCAATCAGCTTGCATGCACAGTGACAGGGTGACGGTAGCACGCACCGTACTCGCAAACTACCAACAAAAAATAAAAACGGATTTGTTCTTGTTCTTTAGACATCAGGAGGTTAGTCTGCAAGAGTATGGTGACATTGTTACCCACTGTAGATGAGACATTCATCCAGTGGGGTATGACTGCTAGCGTAGTCTTTAACAAATACCACACAATACTGATACACGACCGCACGCCGGTACGATGCTCTTCCAGATCGAAATGGCAAACTACCCGCAAGGCACGCGCGGACGACTTTCTCGAACGACTCGGTCGATGGGGAGAAAGATAGTGAAGGCCTATCGAAAGACGATAAAGCAGAAAAAAAAAAATACAACGGGTGACTTGCTCTTTCTAGGAAACGCGTCCACGCATACACACACACAAAATTACTTCAAGCAACCTCCAAGGCTCTGGGCGACTGACTGACATCCTGGCGATCGGAGCCGCACTGTCACGCTCAGGCAATCTGCAATGCTGTTTGGTTTGGCGCCATCTATAGCGACTGAAACAAGAAATATTGAGTACCCCTGGGAGTGGCGGCTGCATTGTTCAAACGTGCGCTTTTACTCTGGTGGCGCCGCTGAGCCTAGCAGTTAGCTCGCGCTTTAGCCCGTGTGTCCAACTATAGCCAAACGCAAGCAAGATACGGTGTCAGACTCACCTTTCTAACAACGGAAGCACCCTGTCACGCTCAGACAACCGGACAACCTGCAATGCTGTTTGGTTTGGCGCCATGTAGCGACTGAAACAAGAAATATTGAGTACCCCTGGGAGTGGCGGCTGCATTGTTCAAACGTGAGCTTTTACTCTGGTGGCGCCGCTGAGCCAAGTGTCTGAAGCAAAAAACACAGGGTATCCCAGGAAGCCGTGATCGCGTAACGTGCCAGTGGAGCGGAAGCTACGGCCCTGGCGGGCCAATCGGAACGCGACTGCCTATCACCGGAGCGCGCCTCAACTCCGGAGAAGCATCAGGCTTTTCGCGGTGTCATGCTCCAATACGTGTGCGTTGCGCTCGTATACGTCGCGCATTTCGAAGCCTTCGGCACGCAATGTGGGGCTTATCGTTTACCCTTTGTCAAGTTACTACTAGACAGGGTATAACCGTGCGCTGTCACCCTGCTGGCGCCGCCTGGCCGTTGCCAGACGCACGACAGCCGTCAACTTTGTTTTTATTTTCACGTTTATGTCTGCTTTTTCCTCCTTTAAAAAATATTGCTTAGCAGCAAAAAAAAAAAAAAGGAGCACAGACAGACACACACACGCACACACACGTGCATTCACGGCAAACTTTGTGCACTGATCTGCTCGTCGGGCCGGTGGTTTCTGCTGATGCTACATCATGGAAAGCCGCACGCACGTCGTTCTAAAGGAGATTCTCAAACTTTCCATCCACAAAGAACCTTTATCCGCTGGAATGGTAGCTGAAGAGCCCGTCCCTGTCGCGACATTGGTCAGTGAAGCGGTGCAGAAGCCTGCAGACCTTGTATATAGCAATGCACATACTAGGGAGTGTTTTAGCTTGTATGCATTCATGGTCGGTGACTGGGGTCTGTTGCAATAAGGCTTAAGAAAGGTTCACACACTTGTTCACACATTTGCGTCTGCTTACGACAGAGCTCCCTTACGCCGAGAGGGCGTGCTGGCAACATCTATAAGGTAACTCGTGAATTGCATTTCACTACAGTGAAAGTTTTGCGGTGTTTGCGAGATCAAATGTACTACTATCTATCTATCAGAAATGGTCCATTATGACATCATTTGAACTTCTTCAAACCAAAAAGAAAAAAATGCACGCGAAAATTCGGACGTAAACGGAAATGCGTCGGTGTGTCCTCTAGTCGTAGGAGATCCCGAGAGGTTTTAAGCCACTCTGTCGCAAGCCGTCACAAGTGTGTGAACCAGCCCTTAGTCTGAAAAGCACTTTGTTCAGGGACAGTGGAGAAAATCTCCACTGTCCCTTCTTGTCTTCTTGTATTCCTGGACGATACCTGCCTACTGGACCGCTTGTAAAAGTGCCAACAGTTCGTGAATAGATATACAGTAGTGGACAAACCTAATCAAGTAACTGTGACTTCATCCAAGATGCCTTCTCTCTTCCCTCTTCACCTTTCTAATCTTTTCTTTTGATCCCCTCTTTCCCCATCCCCAACCTGGAACTGGCTTGCCCCCAATCGACGATGTGGTTAATAAGTTCCAGGCTTCCTTTCTTTTCAACACTTCTCTCTCTCTCTGGAAAAAATCTGGGAGCTCGAGGAGTCCACGACGGTCCACTGGGGAATCTCTTGTGTTTCTAGAAACCCATTTTGGGAATCCACAGGCTAGCTCGTAGTGTTGCAGACCGTACAGGTTCCCGCCATGTCGTTACAGCTGAGCATCCTCGAAGACAGCCAAGTCAGTGTGGAGTTCCGCGCGCGCAACCACAAGGTGACCCGGGTGCTGCGCGTCTCCTCAGACGGCACCCGGGTGTTCTTCTACAAGCCACCGCTCGGCTGGCACCTCTCCACGGAGGGGGTGGCCCCGGCCCCACCCCAGGGCGCTCCGGTGCACTCCTGGGACGCTCTGCCCCAGGCGCTCTGGGCGAAGTACGCGTGCGCGGCAAGGTTTGTGTCGTTGGTGCGGCAGAAGACGCCCAAGATCATCCTGTATGCTGAGTACGCGCTCTGCATTCGCCTGGGCAGCGGCGACCTCGAAGCTAGCTTCTACTCTGGTACGTCTTAGCGTGCTCAAGGGCTGGCACAATGATTTTTGTACTTTCGGCGAATACCGCTTGGACTTAATCCTCGGCGTTTGTAACCCACAAGACCCACATTCGTTTCTCTTACCGCGCAGTCGCAGTCGCGGAGAAAAATGAGCTGCGTTCACCCCTTCAGCAAGCAGCCATACCAAGCAGTCTTGTGATCTGGAGGCGATTATAAACCGCCAACTTTCATCATATATATTGGCATCACATGACAGCGTGACATGACGTGACTATGTCACATGACGTGACTACGTTACATGACACCATAATAATTTTCGTGCCGAACTTAGCGAAAAAAATGGATGTCATGCGACCTGACGTCATGTAATGTCAGGCCACGTGACATTTGTTTGACAAAAAAACAATGTTTTAAATTTCCCACCGAAATTCCCATCAAGTGTAACCACACTTTCACTGCGTTTAACAGAGCACCTAATGGGCTGTCCAAACAGGACAGGACGGATGCCGTGCACACATGAAAAAAAGCATGAGAAAGTGTGCAAGTTGCAGCGTGCAGAGACAATTTCAGTGAGGACGTCAGCAGTGCACACCAGAGCGTTGGAATGGCTGTCCAGATTCATGTGACAAGCTCACTTTGAGCCTCTGTCCAAGGACGCAAGCAAAAAAACTTCCCCCCCCCCCCCCCCCCCGGAAATAATAATAAAAAAAAAATAAACGTGCCAGTGCGGATCAGAATTGGTACAGCCGATGCCGCGACTGCAGAAAATGCTTGTTGCGATTGTTTCTGCACGTGGCGCAGGGGCCAGGGTGGTTTGCAGCGGGAACCATGTTCAGCTGATGGACGTCGGCGGGCCGCAGCGCCACCTGACGCTTCCTGTCGATCCCGAGATGCTTCCTCCATCGCAGTGCTCACTATGGCAGATCACTTGCGAGGTGAGCCTCTTCACCACCGTACATTACTTCCGCGTCTCGCCGGGACTCGAGCGACCAGGCCTCCGACCAAGCATCGTCTTTCTTGTCTGTACGCAGTAGAGCTCGCTATGCGCCGTTTCACCTTACAATGGACCGCGGCAAAAACTATACACCGAGAGTTTTCAAGCTTTCGTATCTCGCCTTATCGGGCTTGACTGAAAGCCGAGTGACCCATCCCGGTTTTGGCGCTGGTTTAAAAGAAATAGAAGTGCAGAATCCTGCAGACCTAAACAATAATGTACATATACTAGGAAGCGTTTGATACATAGTTATGCATCGATAGATGGCTCAGACCTGCTGAAATAATGACTGAGCTGGAAGAACGCTTAGCGGCAGGGACGGTCCATGAAATTTGGGGGCTCTGAAAACCTGTGACGAGGTACTCTAGGTAACTCAGTTTGAGGACCTATGCCCTAAGACATGCTAGCCAATTCAGTGCTGCGAACAAATCACGTGACTATGCGCCCTGCGCGTTGCTCCACCCTTCCCGGAAGTCACGTGACACGCACGGCATTGGATTGACCTTCGATGACTTGTATCATCCCCTACGGTTCATTGTAAGGTGAAACAAAGTATGGTCCATTTTTGCACGTTTTGCAGCTTCGATTTTAGTGAAGACCCAATTACTCACTCTTTCGTTCTAATTCTGTTTGTGTATTAGCTTTTTTAACTAGGTTTAAATGCATAGTTTAAAATATGGTTTAAATCGTTTAAACAGCAACTACGGTCACTATTTTTGAATTTGGGATTACAACTGTTTTCAGCTGAGCAGTGTCCCTAAATTAGTATCTATAGTTTCTTTGTGTTGTTTTTTCAATATTGTGTTTAGTTTTATAAATATCGCAGCTCAAAGTTTGGTTCGGGCATCTGTGACAAGACCTAAACTACCTGCTCGAGGGACTGCTGCGGTGTGACGTCATAAGGGTGCTGCGTTACGTGGTACAACGAATTAACCACAGCTCCACTGCGACGTGACATCACAAGGGTGCGGCGCCATTGTTCCTTGACTAAAAGCAAACCCGCTTTGCCACCCGCTAAAGAGCAGCTGATCTCATCTTGAAAATCGGTTTTAGTGAAGTATATGCGGTCTCACTTCGACATAATATTTCGGCTGTGATTATATTTAGTGCTAGTGAAATATGATCACGGCCGTGGGGAGACGGCTGTGATCATCTCAAGTTGCCCTTTAAGGCCCTGGTCTCCCGATGATTATCTCTAATATGTACATCATAGTTCAGTTGTCCTCGTCTTTAAGCCTCCGCCATGAAGCAATTAGTACTGCGGAATTTGAGAAATCCCCAAATTGCAACTGGCTTACAGCGCTTGTAAATACAATTCAATGCGATGGCACATTGTTGCATAGAGGCACCTTGTTGAACTTTACAGTCCGTTTGCGAGAAAAGTATTTTTCAGAAGCTAGCATATCATTTCTAAAGCCACCCCCTGAGTCTTCGTTCCTATGTGGTTGTAAAAGTTAACCCGCTTGATTCGAGAAGGCAGCCGTCTTGGGGTCGCAGAGTCAGTGTTCCAATTTCTAGTTTCATGCCTGAAAAACTTTTCGAATTGCAGTATCATCGCCGCTGCCAAGCACTTGAAGCGGCTCTGGAGGCAACAGACGAGGGCTGGAACATCTTCCCTGCTATTTTTGGGAGGTGCGTGATTGTACTGACAGGACGAGTATGGCAGAGTGTCTCTTTCGAGTGCCCGGCCTCCAACACATGCTCATGGCCCTCTGCCACACATTGGCTGCTCGTGCACACTCGACGCTCATGAGACGCTGAAGTGTTATCGAAGTTAGGATGCTGGCGCTGAAGGCGGGACAGCCGAAAGATCTCCCTGCCATTCTCAACTCGGTGACTACAGCTGCAAGTGTTTCCTCACTTCTTTTTTCCGCAATACAGACACACGCAATAGTTATGAAGACGGCCCAACATGATGACAAACTCTGCAAATTCCGCTTTAAACGACGTAGCTCGCCGCACGCTTCACAACCAGTCAAGCAGCGAGGGTGTTCTGTTGTCACGGTAAAGTAAAACAGCTGGAGTTCAAGCAAATTGAAAGCAAACGAAGCGGTATTTGCCAGCTACAAGCGTCCATCCGAGTGAAAATATTTTAATGCCGTAGATAAGAATACAGTACTAATGCTAATGTTATCTCTGTGGTGACACTGACTCAGGTTTTTCGATTTGCGATGTATGGAAAACATGTTCTTTGTTATTTCGAAAAAAACTGACAGGAAAAATGCACATCGAGTATTTCTACGGTTCTCGAAAATCTTGGAATCTCAATGTTCAACCGAGTGGACACTACAGCCTGATGACTGGTTTTATAGTTTTGCAGTTGAAAGTCATCAACAAATCGTCAATGAACGAAATCTTGTGCCGAACACTTTCCGTCTGCTATGCTTAACCAAGTAGTAGTAAGCTCAAGCATAGCAGCTTGCCAAGGCCCGCTTCAGACAGAGCAATTTTTCCATCAGTACCAGGATTGCTGTTTCTTTAGTTGCTCCCTAGAATCCCCTCGTTGCGACTCAAATTGCTGGGATCAGGTCAGGCTTTAAACGAACGAACAGCTCGGACACCGAAACGATAAGAGCCAATTGGGAACACAGTATTCTTTATCTGACCCCCTGGGGTGGCAAGTGGTGACAGAACACTTGGATCTGGTTCGCAGTGGATCGTTTTCATTATGTAAAGGTTTTAGGGAGATAAGATGGTATTTTTGGTGCCACCTCAAGATAAAAAAACAAAAACATGTTATTAACAGGTAACTTTATGTCCAGGTAATGGAAGAAAGTTGCATCACCGACGCCTATAGCAAAATGTAGCAATTTGAGCTGAGATTTGAGGACCGCGTTGGCTGGAGTTGTTGCATCAGGACACTGGGAAAAACTGATCCTGATGCAACCCACGTTGGTGCAACTCTATTTCAGTGCACTCTATTCACTCTATTCCACTCTATTTCAGTGCATCACTGGTAGTGGCAGTGCTCATAAGCGTGGCGGCTCTTTTTCAGGCGACCGCAGGACTGGCGACAGCAGTCCAACGTCAAGTCCCCCGGGTCCTGCTGTTTTTCTAAAGACTTCGGCCATCGCAACTTTTCGCCGATGGGAACCTGCCTCACCGGAACGTGCTCCTCAGCCCATGCAAGAAGCAAGGCATCTCTCACTCACACCGCCTTTGCTTATTGACGTTGTACGTAATTGCCCAATAAAGGACGATGCGAGGATATGGCTGGTCCTGTGCTTTTTTAGCCGTTGTATAGTGGCTGAAATTGTCATTTATTTAAGTGCACTTTTATTGCTGCCTGTTATCTGTGGGGAAGGGGGGCATAGCTACCTGTTGAAATGACAAACAAGCGTATTAGGCTATTTTTAATGAGCCTCGTAACTGGCACTCCGATAAAGCATGTCTTAATTGAAAAAGCCGATGACAGACTCACCTCGAGCGAGCACATCATTGACTCTCTTCCACTTTCCTACCTTCACATTGCTAAGAAGAAATAGCTATTGTAATTATATACATAATTGTAATTATAAACATAATTGTAATTATATACATAACGCTCTGGAGAAAAATATTTTTCGCTGAACTTTGCATTAATAGGGCTAAGCTCGAGCCTGCTCTGGAAGCTGGCTTCTCCTAAAAACCACCGTGGGAAAATATTTTTCGCTGAACGCATTAATAGGGCTAAGCTCGATCGAGCCTGCTCTGGAAGCTGGCTTCTCCTAAAAACCACCGTGGGAAAATATTTTTTGGTGAACTTTGCCTTAATTGGGCTAAGCTCGATCGAGCCTGCTCTGGAAGCTGGCTTCTCCTCAAAACCACCGTGGGAAAATATTTTTTGGTGAACTTTGCCTTAATTGGGCTAAGCTCGATCGAGCCTGCTCTGGAAGCTGGCTTCTCCTAAAAACCACCGTGGGAAAATATTTTTCGGTGAACTTTGCCTTAATTGGGCTAAGCTCGATCGAGCCTGCTCTGGAAGCTGGCTTCTCCTAAAAACCACCGTGGGAAAATATTTTTTGGTGAACTTTGCCTTAATTGGGCTAAGCTCGATCGAGCCTGCTCTGGAAGCTGGCTTCTCCTAAAAACCACCGTGGGAAAATATTTTTTGGTGAACTTTGCCTTAATTGGGCTAAGCTCGATCGAGCCTGCTCTGGAAGCTGGCTTCTCCTAAAAACCACCGTGGGAAAATATTTTTCGGTGAACTTTGCCTTAATTGGGCTAAGCTCGATCGAGCCTGCTCTGGAAGCTGGCTTCTCCTAAAAACCACCGTGGGAAAATATTTTTTGGTGAACTTTGCCTTAATTGGGCTAAGCTCGATCGAGCCTGCTCTGGAAGCTGGCTTCTCCTAAAAACCACCGTGGGAAAATATTTTTTGGTGAACTTTGCCTTAATTGGGCTAAGCTCGATCGAGCCTGCTCTGGAAGCTGGCTTCTCCTAAAAACCACCGTGGGAAAATATTTTTTGGTGAACTTTGCCTTAATTGGGCTAAGCTCGATCGAGCCTGCTCTGGAAGCTGGCTTCTCCTAAAAACCACCGTGGGAAAATATTTTTTGGTGAACTTTGCCTTAATTGGGCTAAGCTCGATCGAGCCTGCTCTGGAAGCTGGCTTCTCCTAAAAACCACCGTGGGAAAATATTTTTTGGTGAACTTTGCCTTAATTGGGCTAAGCTCGATCGAGCCTGCTCTGGAAGCTGGCTTCTCCTAAAAACCACCGTGGGAAAATATTTTTCGCTGAACTTTGCCTTAATAGGGCTAAGCTCGATCGAGCCTGCTCTGGAAGCTGGCTTCTCCTAAAAACCACCGTGGGAAAATTTTTTTCGGTGAACTTTTCCTTAATAGGGCTAAGCTCGATCGAGCCTGCTCTGGAAGCTGGCTTCTCCTAAAAACCACCGTGGGAAAATATTTTTCGCTGAACTTTGCCTTAATAGGGCTAAGCTCGATCGAGCCTGCTCTGGAAGCTGGCTTCTCCTAAAAACCACCGTGGGAAAATATTTTTTGGTGCTTTGCCTTAATTGGGCTAAGCTCGATCGAGCCTGCTCTGGAAGCTGGCTTCTCCTAAAAACCACCGTGGGAAAATATTTTTCGGTGAACTTTGCCTTAATAGGGCTAAGCTCGATCGAGCCTGCTCTGGAAGCTGGCTTCTCCTAAAAACCACCGTGGGAAAATTTTTTTCGGTGAACTTTGCCTTAATAGGGCTAAGCTCGATCGAGCCTGCTCTGGAAGCTGGCTTCTCCTAAAAACCACCGTGGGAAAACATTTTTCGGTGAACTTTGCCTTAATAGGGCTAAGCTCGATCGAGCCTGCTCTGGAAGCTGGCTTCTCCTAAAAACCACCGTGGGAAAATTTTTTTCGGTGAACTTTGCCTTAATAGGGCTAAGCTCGATCGAGCCTGCTCTGGAAGCTGGCTTCTCCTAAAAACCACCGTGGGAAAATATTTTTCGCTGAACTTTGCCTTAATAGGGCTAAGCTCGATCGAGCCTGCTCTGGAAGCTGGCTTCTCCTAAAAACCACCGTGGGAAAACATTTTTCGGTGAACTTTGCCTTAACAGGGCTAAGCTCGATCGAGCCTGCTCTGGAAGCTGGCTTCTCCTAAAAACCACCGTGGGAAAATTTTTTTCGGTGAACTTTTCCTTAATAGGGCTAAGCTCGATCGAGCCTGCTCTGGAAGCTGGCTTCTCCTAAAAACCACCGTGGGAAAACATTTTTCGGTGAACTTTGCCTTAATAGGGCTAAGCTCGATCGAGCCTGCTCTGGAAGCTGGCTTCTCCTAAAAACCACCGTGGGAAAATTTTTTTCGGTGAACTTTGCCTTAATAGGGCTAAGCTCGATCGAGCCTGCTCTGGAAGCTGGCTTCTCCTAAAAACCACCGTGGGAAAATATTTTTCGCTGAACTTTGCCTTAATAGGGCTAAGCTCGATCGAGCCTGCTCTGGAAGCTGGCTTCTCCTAAAAACCACCGTGGGAAAACATTTTTCGGTGAACTTTGCCTTAATAGGGCTAAGCTCGATCGAGCCTGCTCTGGAAGCTGGCTTCTCCTAAAAACCACCGTGGGAAAATTTTTTTCGGTGAACTTTGCCTTAATAGGGCTAAGCTCGATCGAGCCTGCTCTGGAAGCTGGCTTCTCCTAAAAACCACCGTGGGAAAATATTTTTCGCTGAACTTTGCCTTAATAGGGCTAAGCTCGATCGAGCCTGCTCTGGAAGCTGGCTTCTCCTAAAAACCACCGTGGGACAATTTTTTTCGGTGAACTTTTCCTTAATAGGGCTAAGCTCGATCGAGCCTGCTCTGGAAGCTGGCTTCTCCTAAAAACCACCGTGGGAAAATATTTTTCGCTGAACTTTGCCTTAATAGGGCTAAGCTCGATCGAGCCTGCTCTGGAAGCTGGCTTCTCCTAAAAACCACCGTGGGAAAATTTTTTTCGGTGAACTTTGCCTTAATAGGGCTAAGCTCGATCGAGCCTGCTCTGGAAGCTGGCTTCTCCTAAAAACCACCGTGGGAAAATATTTTTCGCTGAACTTTGCCTTAATAGGGCTAAGCTCGATCGAGCCTGCTCTGGAAGCTGGCTTCTCCTAAAAACCACCGTGGGAAAATATTTTTCGGTGAACTTTGCCTTAATTGGGCTAAGCTCGATCGAGCCTGCTCTGGAAGCTGGCTTCTCCTAAAAACCACCGTGGGAAAATATTTTTCGCTGAACTTTGCCTTAATAGGGCTAAGCTCGATCGAGCCTGCTCTGGAAGCTGGCTTCTCCTAAAAACCACCGTGGGAAAATTTTTTTCGGTGAACTTTTCCTTAATAGGGCTAAGCTCGATCGAGCCTGCTCTGGAAGCTGGCTTCTCCTAAAAACCACCGTGGGAAAGTATTTTTCGCTGAACTTTGCCTTAATAGGGCTAAGCTCGATCGAGCCTGCTCTGGAAGCTGGCTTCTCCTAAAAACCACCGTGGGAAAATATTTTTCGCTGAACTTTGCCTTAATAGGGCTAAGCTCGATCGAGCCTGCTCTGGAAGCTGGCTTCTCCTAAAAACCACCGTGGGAAAATATTTTTCGCTGAACTTTGCCTTAATAGGGCTAAGCTCGATCGAGCCTGCTCTGGAAGCTGGCTTCTCCTAAAAACCACCGTGGGAAAATATTTTTCGCTGAACTTTGCCTTAATAGGGCTAAGCTCGATCGAGCCTGCTCTGGAAGCTGGCTTCTCCTAAAAACCACCGTGGGAAAATATTTTTCGCTGAACTTTGCCTTAATAGGGCTAAGCTCGATCGAGCCTGCTCTGGAAGCTGGCTTCTCCTAAAAACCACCGTGGGAAAATATTTTTCGCTGAACTTTGCCTTAATAGGGCTAAGCTCGATCGAGCCTGCTCTGGAAGCTGGCTTCTCCTAAAAACCACCGTGGGAAAATATTTTTTGGTGAACTTTGCCTTAATTGGGCTAAGCTCGATCGAGCCTGCTCTGGAAGCTGGCTTCTCCTAAAAACCACCGTGGGAAAATATTTTTCGGTGAACTTTGCCTTAATAGGGCTAAGCTCGATCGAGCCTGCTCTGGAAGCTGGCTTCTCCTAAAAACCACCGTGGGAAAATTTTTTTCGGTGAACTTTTCCTTAATAGGGCTAAGCTCGATCGAGCCTGCTCTGGAAGCTGGCTTCTCCTAAAAACCACCGTGGGAAAATATTTTTCGCTGAACTTTGCCTTAATAGGGCTAAGCTCGATCGAGCCTGCTCTGGAAGCTGGCTTCTCCTAAAAACCACCGTGGGAAAATTTTTTTCGGTGAACTTTTCCTTAATAGGGCTAAGCTCGATCGAGCCTGCTCTGGAAGCTGGCTTCTCCTAAAAACCACCGTGGGAAAATATTTTTCGCTGAACTTTGCCTTAATAGGGTAAGCTCGATCGAGCCTGCTCTGGAAGCTGGCTTCTCCTAAAAACCACCGTGGGAAAATTTTTTTCGGTGAACTTTTCCTTAATAGGGCTAAGCTCGATCGAGCCTGCTCTGGAAGCTGGCTTCTCCTAAAAACCACCGTGGGAAAATATTTTTCGCTGAACTTTGCCTTAATAGGGCTAAGCTCGATCGAGCCTGCTCTGGAAGCTG